AGATGCGAAGTTGCGAACTGATGAAGGATCTCTGTTAAAGTGCGACGGTGAGTTTTCTCTCTCTCTCTCTCTCTCTCTCTCTCTCTCTCTGCGAAATTTATTAGGTTGGGCTTCGGGCTCGGGCTCGGGCTTTTTATCAGGCCCGGGCTCGGGCCCAAGTTATAGGCTCGTAGGTTGGGTGGGGCTCGGGCTTGGGCTTAGCATATTTTCATTAATGGGGACTAAAAGCCCGGCTCGAGCCCGTCCCAGCCCATGAACAGGTCTATTTACCAACAACTACCACAATTACCATTAAACGAAAATTAAAAAGAAAAAAATCAATAATAAGGTGATTGTATTATTTTTACTTGAAACGTTTTGAATTGATTAATACAAATGGAACGATGTATTGTTACATCACATAAGAGTCAATTCCGCTAAAATTATTATTGCATTTCACCCACCTAAAGTAAAAAACGTCCATTTGACACTTCTGAAAATTTCCCCACCTGAATTTTTAAGGTATGTCTTGTTTCAACCATAAACACCCTCAAATAATAGTTGTATTGTATTTTTTTTTCAGCCAAAACATATCAAGTGGAAATAGCAACGGCAGTATAGTACCAAATCCATTACTTTCTCTCTAATAAGTAAATGAATTACATTTGATTGAAATTAAATTTGATGAGGGCGGATTTGGCCCTCTAATTACATTGTCACACGTGGTATTTCGGAATAATTGGGTGACACCCAGAACCACTTAGGCAACAACTTAGTCAAGATGATGGTGTTCCGAACTGGCGACCTGGCACAGACGTCGAACTGGCGACCTGGCACAGGCGCTGACCTGGCAACCTCGACCACAATTCAGGTCAGATAGAAGCACCTCGTCCAGGGCTGACCTGCAACACCTCATCACTAGCCGAAGTGACCTCGACGCAAGGAGCGACCTCCCTCGAGGGCGTGTCGGCCTGATTGAGGTCCAAGTGGTGACCTGCGAGATGTGCTTGCCGACAAATTCGGCATGCATATCCCAACACTTCCACGATCCTTGGAAGTTGGCCCACGTACCAAACGTTTCGGAGGGTGGTCAACGTGCATGGCGGTTGCCTTCGGGAATATCGGACCACTTAGACGAGCTCGCGAAAATCTCGGATGCGGTGTGTGAAGCCCACGCCAAACAATGCCTATATAAAGGAACCAACCCCAATGGCATAGGGGGGCAAGTAAGCATATTCTAGCTCTCATATTTTATGATTTTTAGCTCGCAGTCTACAATGAGAGTACTGACTTAAGCATCGGAGTGACCTCGTCGGGTTAGCCACCCCAGGTTCTCTGATCTGTCTTGCAGATTCACTTAGCTTGCCATCCAACTGGAAGCTAGATCATCCTCTAACAGGGAGTAGTCAGATCGCGCAACATCAATTGGTGCCATCTGTGGGAAACGCTACAAAAAGCAAAGTTCTCATCTTCTGAAAGGCTAAGTCTTCTTCTTCCAGAACGCTAAGTCTTCTTCTTACAAAAAGCAAAGTTCTCATCATCCTCTCACTTTCTAATTTCCATTTTTTATGAACTCAAAGACTAAGCAGGAAGTTGATGGCCAATAGACTAAGCAGCTCTGTCGACTTTATTTCAACTCGGATAAAGCCTCATCAGTCCTCTTCACGAGGTGCCCTCTACAAGATGAGCTCTTCTTGGCTTCCGTGGGAGTTGGCAGCCAACGGATTGCATGGACGCCCTTGCCGGTCGAGCCTTCAAGGGCTCTCGTGCGAGCTGGTGACCTAAAGTCAATAGTGTTGCCCCCGTAGGTCGAGCTCCCAGTAGCTTTTTGTAGGAGTGGGTGGCCGGCGTCACTAACGGGGCTGATGCAGCGCAACCATAACTCTAAAGTGCCGAATTGATAAAAGACCTCGGCACCACATAAGACCCAATCGCCTCTTCGGCATAGGCAAAATCAAGGGTAAGGAGAGTGGACTGCGAGTTGCTCCCAGAGCCTAAGGGCTAAGGTACCGAGCTGACAAAAGACCTCGGCACCATGTGAAACCTAGTCGCCTCTTTTGCGTGGACGAAATATAAAGCAGTTCGCATTCAACACGAGAAAACAAAAGAAAGACTACTTCGCTCTCAGCACCATGATGGATGCAAACTTGATTTCTTCACAACCGACCTCCACCTCGGTTGCAGGCTCCGCATCAAACTCACTGGTTGGGACCAGCTCGAAGGGCGTTGCGTCGAAGTCTACCTAGGTGGAGTGACCTGATAGAGCAGTCACACAGAACCCCCTCTTAAGGACGGCATGATGAGCTTCACTCTTGAGGTACTTAGCCGGATCGCAAAACCTCTTGATGGTTACATCCCTAATAAGGTAGATGTCCTCGGGGTACTTGCTCCACCTCTCCTTGAGTAGATGAATTCGCTCTCGGGCCCCGAAAATAAAGATGGCAAGGTCCTGTACAAGGCTGCAAACACTTGGACTTTTCCAACTTGAGAAGCAAATTGGATCGACGCTTACGAGCTCATCAAATTAGTCATTCTAGGCCAAAAGGAGCAATCTACTCCTTTCGCCGAGTTACTTTCAGCTCGAGAGTGGGGGGCAATTGATGAGGGCGGATTTGGCCCTCCAATGACATTGTGACACATGACATCTCGGAACAACTGGGTGACACTCGGAACCACTTAGGCATCAACTTAGCCAAGATG